TGTTTATTGCAGTAATATTCACAATAGAAAGAACTAGAATCAACCTAAATATCCATCACTGGTGGACTGGACAAAGATAATGTACATATACACCATGGAATACTGCTCAACCATAAAAAGAAATGAGATCATGTCCTTTGCAACAAGCAACACAATTGGAGCTGAAGGCCATTATTGTAAGTAAACTAACACAGGAACGGAAAACCAAATGCTGCTTGTTCTCACCTGTAAGTGGGAGCTAAACATTGAGTACACATGGATGCAAAGAAAGGAATAACAGACAGTGGATACTAGGGCCTACTTGTGGGTGGAGAGTGAGAGGAGGGTGAGAATCAAAAAACCGCCTGTTGGATACTATGTTGCTGATGAAATAATCTGTACACCAAATCCTTACAACATGCAATTTACCTATATGACACTTGCAAATGTACCGCTAAGTATAAAATAAAAGTGAAAAAAAAAAAGCAGCTAAAAAAAAAAAAGAAAATATAAGAGCAAATAGGACACTATTTAAAATAGTACCAAGGGCTATATAAAGTATTTAGAGCCAAGCTACATAAAGTAACATATATAACTAAGTAACTGAGTGTGACAAATTAAATTCTGCCCAACCCAAGGTAAAAAAAATGGGCAAGACTTAGACACTTCGTAACAGAAGATATACAAATGATTGATAACACACGATGAGATGATTAACATCTATATTAATCTGGGAAATTAAAATGAAAATCAAAGTAATGCCATTACTCACCCACTATAATGACTAACATTTAAAAGACTGACAGTACCAAGTGCTGACAAAGACTAAAACTGTCTTTTGTTTTAGAGAGTGTAAAATGATACAAACACTTTGGAAACCTTTTGGCAGGTTGTTTTTTTTTTTTTTTTTTTTTTTTTGAGATGGAGTCTTGCTCTGTTGCTCAGGCTGGAGTGCACTGGCACAATCTCGGCTCACTGCAATCTTCACCTCCTGGGTTCAAACGATTCTCCTGCTTCAGCCTCCCAAATAGCTGGGATTACAGGCATGCATCACCATGCCCAGCTAATTTTTGTAGTTTTAGTAGAGACAGGGTTTCAGCATGTTGGTGAGGCTGGTCTCGAACTCCTGGCCTCATGATCCACCTGCCTCGGCCTCTTAAAGTGCTGGGATTACAAGTGTGAGCCACTGCACCTGGCCCGGCAGTTTCTTATAAGTTAAACATAATTGTAAAATCCAGCACTTCTATTCAAAGCTATATAAACAAGAGAAATATATGTCTTTATATAAAAACTGGTACAAAAATGTTTATAGTAGATTTATTCATTTTAGATGTTGGCAATTTGTGTGTTCTCTAATTTTTTTTTTGGTTAGCCCAAGTAAAGAAGTTTTATTAATTTTATTAATGTTTTTGAGTAAGCAGTTTTTGGATTTGTTGATTTATTCTGTTGTTTTCCTGATTACAGTTTCATTGATTTTTGCTCTAATTATAATTGTACATTTTTCGTGTTTACTTTAGTGACTAAGAAAATTTTCTTTTTCCAGCTTCCTAAGGTGGAAGCTTAGGTTATTGATCTTAGACCTTTCTTCTTTGCTAATATATTCACTTAATGGTATGAATTTTCCTCTCAGCGCTGATTTTGCTGTATTCCACAAATTTGGGTAAGTTTTCATTAACTTAAAAATATGTATAATGCCTCTTGAGACTTCTGATTTGACCCTGGGGTTGTTTGAAAGTGTATTGTTTAATGCCCAGTATTTGGGAATTTTCCAGCTATCTTTCTGTTACTTATTTCTACTTTAATTCCGTGGTTGTCTGATAATGTATACTTTGTATTTCTGTTATTTTAAATGTGTCAATATGTATTTTCTGGACTAAATGTGGTCTGTCTTACTTAATATTCCACATGGGCTTGAAAATAATGTGTATTCTGCTGCTGTTGGAAGGAATATTCAAGTTGATAGATGGTGTGTTCAGGTCAACTACATTCTTACTGATTTTCTGCCTGCTTGATCTATCAATGACTGACAGAAGGTTGTTGAAGTGTCCAAATATGATAATGGTTTTGTCTATTTTTCCTTTCAGTTCTATCAGTTTTTGCCTCACATGTTTTGATGCTGTATTATTAGCTGCATGTACACTTAGTATTACTACGTTTTCTTGGGGAATTGACCCATTTATCATTATGTAATGTCCTTCTTTATCCCTGATTATTTTTTTTGTTTTGAAACATGCTTTGTCTAAAAGGTTACTTTCAATTAGTGTTAGGATGGCATGCCTTCTATCTCTTTACCTTTAACCTATCTGACTACATTTAAAATGGGTTTCTTGTAGGTAATATAGTATTAGTCTGTTCTTGTGTCACTATAAAGAAATACCTGAGGCTGAGTAATTTTTAAAGGCAAGAGGTTTAATTGGCTCGTAGTTCTGCAGACTGTACAGGAAGAATGTGGCACTGGCATCTACTCCTTGTAAGGGCCTCAGGTGCATCACAAGGTGAGAACAGGAGAAAGAGAGAGGGGAGGAGGGCCAAAGACATTTAAAGAACCAGATCTCATGTGGACTCAGAGTCAGAACTCACTCATCACCAAGGCAATGGCATTAAGACATTCACGAGGGATCTGCCTGCATGATCCCAGCACCTCCCACCAGGTACCACCTCTAATATTGTGAAGCACACTTCAACATGAGATTTAGAGGGTACAAACATTCAAGCTCTATCATTAGGTCTTGATTATTTTTTATCCTCTCTGACAATCTTTTTCTTTTAATTGGTATATTTAGACTGTTTACATTTAATGTGATTAATTGTATATGTATATGTACACACACACACACACACACACACACACACACACACACACACACACACTTGAGATGAATTCTCACTCTGTTGCCCAAGCTGGAGTGCAGTGGCACTGTTTCTACTCACTGCAACCTCCACCTCCCAGGTTTAAGTGTTTCTTCTGCCTCAACCTTCTGAGTAGCTGGGAATTTAGGCATGCACCACCATGCCCAGCTAATTTTTGTATTTTTAGTGCAGATAGGGTTTCACTATGTTGGCCAGGCTGGTCTTGAATTCCTGACGTCGTGATCCACCCACCTCGACTCTCAAAGTGCTGGGATTACAGGTGTGAGCCACTACGCCTGACCAATATATTTTTATTATGTCAGTGATGTTTGTAATTATTCTCTACCTGTTGCCAGAGGATTTTTTTTTTTAAATCTTAACCAAGCATTTAAAATGATTCCATTATGTCTCCTCTTTCAGTGAAACAATTACAGCTTTTTCCAAAAAATGTTACTGGTTCCTCTGGAGTTTACAACATACATCTTTAACTAATGTAAATTTATTTTCAAATAACACTATACTTATTCATCTGTAGAATAAGTATCGTATAAAAGAGTATTTCCAATTACTGCCTTCTGACCCTTGCAGCATTGTTGTCTTTTGTTTTAATTATTCATATTATGTAATCACCAATGCAGTGTTACCATTATAGATTTAAACAGTTATCATTTAGATTAATTAAAATAAGAAAAGTAAATAATATATTTTAGTCTACTTTTATTTATTCCTTTTCGAATGTTCTTTCTTTCTTTATATACATCCAAGTTTCTAACCTATATAATTTCCTTTTGTTTCAAGAATTTTCTTTTAAATTTCTTGCAGGGCAGGTATATTGGTAACAAATTCCCTCAGATTTTTGTTTGCCTGAGAGCATTTTTATTTTCCCTTTACTTTTGAAAGATAATTTTACTGGATATAGAATTCTAGGTTGGTGTTTTTTTTTTTTCTGTTGACATTTATAGTATTTTACTTCACTTTCTTCTTGCTTTGATGGTTTCTGTCAAGAACTTCACTATAATTCTTGTATGCATATAGATAAGGTTCCTCACTCACCATATGGATTCTTCATGATTTTTCTTGGCTTTAAATATGATGTCTCTAGGTGTGGGGTTTTATTGTTGTTATTGTTACTTTTCCTGCTTGGTGTTCTTTCTGCTTCCTAGATTTGTGGTTCTTTGTCTGTCATTAGTTTTGGAAAATTCTTGGGCAATATTACTTCAGATATTTAATCTGCTTTTTTCTTTTTTTATATATATTCCAGTTAAAAATGTTTCCCTTTTTCATATATTCTCATAGTTCTTGCATTTTTTTCATTTGTTTTCCCTCATTCTTTTTCTCTTTGCATTTCAATTTGGGAAGGTTATTTTGACCTACTGTCAAGCTCATTGATTCTTTCCTAAACCATGTCAAATCAACTTATGAGCTTATCAAAGATATTCTTCATTTTTATCAGAGTATTTTCATTCTTAAATGTCTTTTTGAATTTTTCCTACAGTTTCCATATCTCTGCTTTCATTATTCATCTAGTCTTGCAAGATCTGCTAGAGCCCTTAACATATTAATTCTAGATATTTTAAATTCCCTGTGTAATAATTTCAACATCTGTGTCACATTTGAGTCTAGTCTGATGCTTGTTTTGTCTCTTCAGATTGTTTTTTTCTTGTCTTCTGGGGTGCTTTGCAATTTATTTTGAAAACCAGACATTTTGTATTGGGTAATAATAAAAGAAATGTATGGATTTATGTTATGCATGAAGATTTATATTAACACTGTTAGGAATTGGGCTGTGTTTAATGTGTGATATAGCTGTTGTTGCCAGAGTTTCAAATTATCCTAGTATGCTTCTTTGAATCTCCTGTTGACTTTGGACTTTCCTAAGTACTACCCATCAGAGAAAGTTTGCGTCTTACAACTCTTCCAACTTTAATCTTCTGTTATCATACCGAAGCCTTGTTAGTGTGATGGTAAGGTGGAACATTTGATTACCTTAAGGTTAAGTCTCAGTCTTTTAGAACGCTTGTCGCTTGGTGCTGTGATATTCACAAATGTTTTCCCAATGGTATATCTGCTGTCTGCCCTTGACACCACCTGCTTATTTCCCTGGCTACACTATTCCCAGTCTATTTGTTTGAAGCCCTCACCCCTATTAACTTTGTTTTTTACCTCCTCAGGTGAGCAAGGAAGACTGATGAGAACTGGAGTGGGAGGAATTCCCTTCCCTAAGCAAACATAAAGCTCTGTGCTCTGGAAATGTCTTTTCCCCCTGAGAGTCTGCTTTTGTTATGAGAAGGCTCTGGGCATATTTCAGAATGATGACTCTTCCTTCTTTCTGTGAAAGCCATTAGAGAATCTTTCTCTTTATAATGAGAACCTAATAGAATTCTTGGAGATAAAAATCATAAAATATGGGGAACCCCCTGAGCCTGCAGCCCTTTGGTGTTTCTCACTCTCGTGGTAGTTCACATTCAGCCTCCAGCAATTTGTCAAAATTATTACTCAAGTGTACCTACCAGTATATGACTTGGTTGTATCTGTTCCAGGTAAACAGATCTCAGCTGTGTTTTTCTGCATGTACCTGTTGCCCAGATTTTGAGGTGATCCCCGTTTGCCCTGCTATCTCAGTTCTCCAGTCATCACAGGTCATTTATTTTCAGCTTATTTTTTGTAATAATGTGAACGACAACATCCAGTCTGTCTGTGTGTCAGAGGTGGAGCTGGAAGTCTACAGATTCAGGGTAGCTTTATTCATAATCTTCGAACATGGAAAGAGCCCAAATGTCCATTCACATTTGAACAGATAAACAAGTCTTGGTAATTCCATCTAATGGAATATTACCCAGCAATGAAACATCCAACAACATTTTTATAAATAAAAGGAATCAGACACAAAAAATTATATGGTGTTTGATTTTATTTGTATATAATTCCAGAACAGGCAAAAATAATTTATTGTGATAGAAAGCAGATCAGTGGATATCTGGGGCAAAGAATAGTAGAACTGATTGCAAATGTGCAATAGGGAACTTCTTGAAGCAATGAAAAATCTTGATTGTGGTAAAGTTTATATGTATATAGATATTTGTTAAAAATTTCAAACTGCACACATACAATTGGTACACTTTATGTTACATAACAATATAGAGAAATATTGAGCAGTAGAATTCTATCCAAACAAATTATTTATAATATGAAAAGACAAACCACAAAGAATTTATCTGCAATAGATATTTCCAATAATGTACTTGTATACAGATCATATTAAGAAATTTAAAATATCAAAAATTAAAAAATCAAACTCAATTAATAAGCAAAAATTCAAGAAGTATTTTACATAACAGGACACCCTGATGACTAACAAGCATATAAATAGCTCTTCAACCTCATCATTCATCAGAGAAATGCAAATAATAACCATTCTGAGAATCCAGTACGTACCCTTTGGAACAACTAGAATTTAACAAAGAAACAAAAGCCCTGGCAATACCAAATATAAGCAAACACAGAGAAATTGGCACTCTAATAATGATGGGAGTTTAAATTGGTACAACTCCTTTGGATAATTCCTTGAAATTATTTACTAAGATTACTTATACTTGTATCCTGCAACCTAGCATTTTCACTTCTCAATATATTTCTGACATAAATGTGTCCATGTGTACACAAAAACGTATGTACAATGATGTTGATGGTTATAGTATTGCTAATAGCTGAAAGCTGGGTTCAGCAAAAATATCCACTTAGCCGTTGAGTGAGTGAGAAAATTTTGGTATATCATACAATGGGAATATGCTACATGGATTTATCTCAATGGATAATATTGTACAAATGAAGTCAGCCGCACAAAAATGCATATTGTGTGATTTCATTCATATAAAGGTTAAAAGCAGACCTAAATCCTTGTGGTTATTTCTTAGGTAGGGAGAACGAGGGAGATTTCTTTGATTCTGGTAATATTCTAATGCTCGATTTAGGTGTTGGTTATAGTGAGAGGTTCACTTAATAAAAATTTTTCAGGTTGTACATTTAAGATTTATATATTTATACTTGGATTAAAATGTTTACAAAAATGTAATTTGCAAGATATATATATATATATATATATATATATATATATATATATACACAAAATGTTAAGAGGGATAAAGAATCTAAGAGTTGGGGGGCTTGAAAATGAGATTATTGATGTGGGCAGAAATCCAAAGCAATCATCCTAAAGATTTAAACTAACATTGATTTCCTGTGTAGAAGAGTCACTTAAAAATCCTCACACAGAACAGGATGGTCAAAGTTAGAAATGATTATTTTGTTATCACAGAAAGTTGATATTTTCAGAGAGCTGCCAGCATGATTTTTATCTTCATGATCTTGGGCATCAATGGTAGTCCAAATTTGTGCTACTAGAACTATGATTTTGAGAAATGCCTTATAGGTATATCAAAAGCAGTATGTTTAATTTCCATCCACTAACTTAATCTAACCAGACTTCTTTATTGCTACATCCTTGCCTTTTTCCTACATGAAAAGAGTTAGTGTAGTCCTCAGCTTTGAGATTTGAGTACCTGCCTTTCAAATTAAAGGCATGATATTTCCTCTAAGTCTTCTTCCCTTTCAATGGAAAACAACATAATTAGATCAATATCAGTGTTACCACTTGTTTTCAATATGTTTACCTCCAAAGTCCACCTTGATTTCTGTCTCTTCCATACTTTTTCCTCTTGCCTACTGCAATTCATTTAAAAATAGTCTGAAAAAGTAGGGCTCTATGGAGAATTTGAGCTCATAATGTTGAGATGTTAACAGATCTCTATCTTCTTTAAACTTCTACAGCACTTAAGAGTTTCACTTTATGAATTAGTATTTAATCGTTATATTTTTCAGGGTACTTTATTTTGGTTGTAACCAGAATATCTCAGTGCCTTCACAAAAAATTGTCTTTATCACTCATGTCACACTCTAATGGAACTCTAGGACTTTCCTTCAAGTGGTGCCTATGTCATGCATTATTCTCAAATAACTTCTAACCAGGCTGGGAGTGCTTGTAATACCAGCACTTTGGGAGATGGAGGCTGGCGGATCCCCTGAGGTCAGGAGTTTGAGAGCAGCCTGGCCAACATGGTGAAACCTCGTCTCTACTAAAAATATAAAATTAGCCAGGCGTGGTGGCAGACACCTGTAATCCTAGCTACTTGGGAGGTTGAGGGAGGAGAATCACTTGAACTCGGGAGATGGAGGTTGCAGTGAGCCGAGATAATGCCATTGCACTCCAGCCTGGGCGTCAACAGTGAAATTCTGTCTCAAAAAACAAACAAACAAACAAAAAAAGCAACCAACAAAAACCCAGTAAAAAAAAAAAAAAAACCTCGTAACCAGTCAGAACTTATAACAAAATAGTGTTGTAGTTTTCCATATGAGCCTATTTTCTTTTCTTTTTTCTTTTTAAAAATTTAATTTAATTTAATTTAATTTAATTTTGAGATGGAGTCTTGCTCTGTCACCCAGGCTGAAGTGCAGTGGCCTGATCTCAGCTCATTGCAAACTCTGCCTCCTGGGTTCAAGCAATTCTCCTGCCTCAGCCTCCCAAGTGGCTTGGACAACAGGTACGTGCCACCCGGCCGGCTAATTTTTTGTATTTTTAGTAGAGACGGGGTTTCACTGTGTTAGCCAGGATGACCTCGATCTCCTGACCTCATGATCTGCCAGCCTCGGCCTCCCAAAGTGCTGGGATTATAGGTGTGAGCCACCGGGCTCACCTATGAGCCTATTTTCACCTTTTACAAAATGGCTGATATATGAAATGAATGATATATGAAATTAATAATACATGAATGTATCTTTATCTGTTCCTTTCCTCTCCTCTGGGTCTTTTCTCTCACAATTCTTTAAGCTACTATCCTTCCTTTAAATTATACTTACTTTCCACAAGTTTGTTTTTTCCAATTCAAGTTTTTTATGATCAATTATTTTTAAAGACCTCTTACTTAGTGGTACAGATGAATGTAAACAAAATACATTTATTTAAACAACAGACAGGAGATAATTAGCTACTGTGTACAGGTGGTAATGACAGACTTTTGGAAGAATATAGCAAATAGCAGTTTGTGGAAATTAGTTTTCTTTCAGCTAGAATGATTTGACAATCTTTGCCAGAACATGAACAATTTTATGAAGAGCTAAGTGAAATACTAGCCAATTCTTGCATATTTGCATATCTGACAGCTCTTATTTTCAGATTTTATTGATGAAATTAAGTACACTAAATAATAAAGTACTTTGGAGCCTTTTCTTTTCTTTCTAATTTTCACTTTATTTTTGCTGTCTCACAGCTCCAGCAATGAGTAAGAAAGCATTTGTTATAATTCTGAGAAAGTATGAAAGTAGGGCTCAAGCAGGCTGGTGCTCTATTACCATATGTCTGGGAGGTCCACCTGTCTCTGGAATACTGAGGGATAGAGAAGATTCTGAACCATGGAATAAAATGGGTAATGTGGAACATTTGTTTTTCCTTCGTCAGACTGCCTCAGGGTGCTGGCATTATTCAGGGTCTGAATTTCTGTTGCTTCTCACAGTATTTATGTATCAGTGTTCAGGTACAGTTACCCAAAACATTTCAAAGGCAAGTGAGAATTACTGTGAAGAAATTGTACATTAGCCTCACCAATCTATGCTCCATTAATTCAGTTGCTTTCTGTGTGGGTCTGTGTATTGTAAACCAACCTCCAGTTTCAGATTTTCCTGAAGGAATGCAATCTGTCAAAAATCCTGTTTGTATTTTACCCAAGGTCAAGAACATGATCTCAAGGGAAGGTATTACAAACAACTGGGGCAGTAATAATGACCTCATGTTATTTTTTAAACCTAATAAAACCTTATAGATTAATAAAGATTTACAGCTTTCATGGCATTTCCACATCCATTTTTTAAAAAATTATATAGAAAAGGAAACAGATTTGTAAACACTAAGTGTGTTGCCCAAGGTCACTCAACTATTAAACTGTAGAACACAAGTCTTTTTTATTTTTTGGCTCCTAGTCCTGTGTTTATTCTAGTACATTAAACAGTAGCTAGAAGAAATAGAGAGGGAGAGAGAGAGGAAGGAAGAAGGTAATCAAAGGAAGAGAGAAAAGGAAGAAGGAAAATATACAAAAATTTCCACTCTGCAGTACTAGATCGAGTTGGAACAGACTACGCTTTCTTACTTGTCAAATCATTTTAGCATCAAAACAATTCTAGAAATTAAATCACTTACATAAGGAAAACTGGAGGCTTAGAGAGGTAAAGTAACTAAGCCAGATTATATAGTAAGTAATTAGCAGAGCTGAATTAACACGCAGGTTTTTGATTAAGTCTAATGCTATTAAATGCTGTCTTGTTAGCCTAGCATAATATGTTTGCGTGGGTATATGCATATAAGCCCTCCTGGATGTCTATAGGTAGGAGAATGATGACAATGAATATTTATTTGAATAATTTATAAATGTCAGTATAAATATTAGAAATAATATCCTAAAAATGTACACATTCTTTTTTAGCACATTACCTACTATTTAGCCTTACATGTGATTAGAATGTCATTTATTCATCTTTTCAGCCACTCATTTAACTCATGTTAGGTTACCACGTGCAAGCCCATTAAAAATTATTCATTACAGATTCTTCCCACAAACTTAGCTCCCTCTAACAGAGGAGCTGAAATATCTGTAGAAATTAATATAAATACAAAGCACTAATGGTCATAAAAAAGATATAGATAAAGTGCTATGGTTGAGATAATCAGAGATAATAATGCTTGAGTGTTTGACTAAGTTTGGGGATGATTAGTAAATAGCTGACTTTAAAGCCACTTGAGTGGTGCTGATGTCATGTTCAGTAAACTGAACACTAAGAATGGAGAAAAGTGGACAAACATGAGACATTTTTGCAGTGGAATGAAGGAGTTCAGATACCGGATATGAGTGACATGGAAGAGGAACTGGTCTAGGATGACAGTGAAGTCCTGAATCTGAGTGCCCAAGGGAATACAGAGAAACACAAAGGAAACATACATTTAAGTGGAAGAGTAGGAGATTAGTTTTGAAACAGATTGCATTGTATGTACTTATCAGAAAACCAGATGATATCGAATCAATAAACAC